AACAATGTTAAGTCGATCAAATAATTTTATGAGTTTCACTGCATTTTCGTACATTTATTTATCCTAAAACATTTAAATCTTAGTGAAGTAAATATAATAAACCTACAAAGGTTAAGAGAAAAAAAAAAGTACTAGAATTTGGTTTTTTTGTTAAAATAAGTTAAATATTAGTTATACTTATTATCATTTATTACTACTATCAATTATTTACCAAAATATTTTATTAAACTATTACATAATTTGTAAAGATAGTATAATATTTTAACACTTCCAATGTAAATGTTTTCTGTTTGTATGCTTTTAAAGTCTTAGATTAATTAAAAATTGGTATATTATATCATAACTATACTTAATTTAATTATTTCAGAATTTCAAACATGTGTACAGTTAATTGAGATAGTTGTTAAACATAAATAATTAATTAATAAGTCTACTTAATTAAAACCGTAAAATATGTTTACTAATCTAAACTAGCATATTAAAGTTTATAAGACGCATGTACAAACATTGCTTAGAAGATACCATATTTGTTATTGCTAAAATATTCAATGTTAAACACGAAATAATAATTATTTTTAAAAATTTTACCTTTGTGTAAAATATCAAACTACCTATTTATATAATATAATATTCTGCTGAGCTCAATAGGTATTCATATTAAAAAGTAAAATAAAAATAATAATTGTAAACTATTTCGTTACGAAATAGTAATTTTGAAATAATTATTAAATAAAAATGAATAATTATTAATTTTATGATATAATATACATTTATATAGTAATATTATTATTATTATTATTATTAAAATTATTAATATTATAATATAATATATATTTATATAATAATATTATTATTATAATTATTAATTTTTTGAATAATTATTCATAGTTTAATATTAGTTATTATATAAATTAATAAAATGTAAGAATAGCCAATTCAAATTAATTTCATTTTTTTTTTTAGTATTTCAGATATTTATTTTAGAAAAAAAGGGATTTCACTAAACAAAAAAATAAATAATGAAATAAATATATAAATTTTCTATTTTATGAAGGTATTTATTAAGTAAGTAATAAGGTTTGATAAGTATAAATAAAATAAAATGTATAAGTGTTATTTAAAAAAAAACATATAATATGTTATATTTTATCAAATACTATATAATCAACTATCATATATTAACTTAAAATTCATTGATAACTATGTAAATATTTTGAATTGTGATAAACATGGCATTATTTTTTATTTTTGAATTATACAGAATTATAATTTTAATCAAAGCATCACGCTGACAATTTTATAATAATATAATTTTGTTTTACTTAATTTATTTAAATACATTTCATGGTTTGACTATTGAATCAAAATTTTTGAATAAAAAGCACGTTACAAAACGAATAAAATTATTTAGAAACGTATTATTCAAATATTAAACCATTACAATGTACCTACAATAAATCACAAAATTATAAAACTGTTTTAATCCTTTTTTAACTTAAATAAAATCCTTAACCAAAGTTATTAATTTTTTACATAAACGCATTGTATTTATTAATGTTTAAAATATCACAGTAGCTACTTTTTATCAAAATAATTGTCAATGAAATAGTTATAATTTAAACAAAGATACGCACTTATAAATTAATCTATTGTTAATCTCTGAAAGTAAATATTATTTACTATAACTAGTTCTCATTTTATTTTGTTTTATTCATTTTGATTAATGATTTTGATGTTAAATATGAAGTGTGCGTATTAATTAGATATTGAAAAATAATATCAACAGAAAGGTAGTGGACTTTTTGCAGTATAACTCTTTCAAGAACAATAAGTGGACTCTGTGCTTAATAATATCTACCCACCTACGTTAATATTACTCATTGTCATTTCTCATGTTTATATTACTCTATTATAGGTTACAATAATAATATTATATACTTTCGTCATAATACAAATAGTAATAAATTATTACTAATAATATATAAAAATTAAAATTCCAATATTTGCATGAACATATACACAAGTCAAGTATTTACAACGAAATTCATTTGGTATTACCTCACAATTCTCCAATATCATAATAATGTACATAAATAAAAGAAAAATATATGTCATTATAATATTTTTACTTGGATAATGTAATAATCATGTCTTCACTAATGATAATAAACATTAACACGTTTACATAATTTATATTATTCTATTGTAAAAGTTAAAAAGTACAAAATTACAGTTCTAAAATGAATGAAAAACTTTAAAAATGGTAGCTAAAAATTTCACCAGGGTTTAAAACCATTAAGAATATAATTGATTTATAATACAATCATTTGCATTGAATATTATATGTGTTTTGTTTAATGACTTTTTCTGTAATTAGATTGTATAAAAGTTCCGTTTATTTTAAAGCTAAATAAAAAAAAAAAAAAAACTATTAAGTCTTTGGCAAACTAGTACATTTAAAAAAAAAACCATTTAATTTTTGAAATTGATTCATCGTTATTTAATAGTATGCCTTGTAAAATGTAACACCTTCTCGTGTAAGTTTAATCAATTAATTTTATTTATAAATAATAACATTTTCAAATAATGAATATATATATTATCATATGAATGAATAATTTTCGTTGATGGTTTATAATATTTGCATACTGACATACTAATAGTTAATACTGTCTAAATATCAAAATTAATGTAATGCATATAGAATATTTCACCAAGTATACTAACTCTATTATTTAATAATAAAATTATTCAAATTGTTCAAATTATATTTATTTATTTATTTTTTTAAATTTACTTAATAACCTTATTTCTAATTATTTCGATTTATTAAAATACAACTTGAAACACAAGTTGTTGTTTCAAAATGTATGTTGATGAAGAAAACTATTATAGTAGTAATTAAATAAAAGTTTAAATTAAGACATAAATTAAAAAAAAAAAAAATATGCACTTAGGTCTATTGAATGACTAACATCTGGAATAATTGTTTAACTCTGTAAAAACAGAGAAATTCAACTATTTAACAATTTTTTTTTTTCAATTATGGTGTACATATTATTATAAATGTTCTTTGTTTGGTTTAATTTTTTTAATTAAATATTTGTCTGCAAGCAATGCTTGTGTAAACTAATTTTAAATAGAAGTTTATTACGATTTGCCACTATAGAATGAATTAATTTCGTTCAGTTATGCAATTTTAAAATTAAAATAAAATGTTAAATTGGGTTTCAGCCAATAATTACACGTGCAAGCTTATTGTTTGTCTGAAAGCTTAAACCACACGAATAATGATTCATTTTCGGCTTTAGTGGTAATGCCGTGTTTACCGTGTTAATTTAAAACCAGTAGATAATAAATTATTCATATATTAATGACAAAACAAAACTAGATGCGATTTTTTTTAATTTGCGCAGAACACAGGGCTGATGTAATTACTGTCGACATAAATGGACAATTTATTTTCAATCAATTACTACCTCATGTTTTGTTATTTACAATTTTATTTTTGTTTAAAACCATGTACAGTCATAATATTTAACAAGGATTATTTTTATTGTTATTATTTAATCTTTTTCACAGTTTTATATTTAATTTAATTTTATGTGCTCTAACAATGGCGGCATCAGAATTATTCTCGGAGTGGCGTAAAGAAGAACTTGAAAATTACTTACATATTTTGTTATTCTTTAATATAAAATTATAACACAGAACGACAAAAAAATTGATTGCTATGTATAATTTTTATTCAACGTCAATATTATTATAATATCATTTAAAAAATTTACACAGGTTATAGTAAAAATAACTAATAGATATAATAAACTAGATAACTATGTAATACCTCTTGATCTAATAAGTATTTAATTAATAGTTATCAAATACTATTTACATTAAAAACTCTGGTTTAAACATTTTGATAAGAATATAAATTGTTAGTAATAACTTATTTGTTATTACTTACATAATTGGTTAATTAAACTCGTCGGTGATTTTTATTACATTATATGTATAAACATGTAATATATACGTATTATTATTTATATTATTTTTTATTGTTATATTATGTTGTTCGTTTGTATTACCTACAATTTTTATTACTAAACGTTTAATAAAATAAGTATATACTTTAAAACTACCACACAGTTTGTAAAGAATAACAAAATTCTTACATTATTTACATTTTAATCGATTCTATAAGCTATTGTACTTGAGTTATTAGCTCATCGCTATAACTTTATATTTATGATTGTCAACACGCGAATACGCAGAAAAATACGGATATTACTACATTAGTAAAGGATAATATATATTGGTCTCTTGAACTTTATAGTAGTAGGTTACTATCGCGTGCATTTGACTTTTGATTGTCTTATAAGTTGTTACTTATATGAAGTCAATACATTTGTTACCTATCAATTTAGCTTCTTAATTCTTATATAAAATGATAAATTGCTGTTCTATTTAATTAAAATGAATTTCATAATTATTTTTAAATATTATATTACTTATGATTTTAATAATTATTTTAATTGATTGTGTTGTAAAAGTATTTTCTTCTTTTCCATATTATTTCATGTATATTGGCTCCACATTCAAGTTTTTTTTTAATAAAATAATAATAAATATTTTATCAGACTATCGTAGTAATTAACATTCATGATTATTATCGTACCTAATAATTCAAAACACCTAACCTATAATAATAAAATATAAACCCAACACTTCTACCTGCACAGATATAATATTGTAGGATATACACGGTGGTAAAAAAAAATAACTTATTCCGTATAGTGTAGCATAAACTATTCCAAGTAAATTTAAATAAATAAATATACACTACAAGCACTATACAACAAAAATATTTATATTTATCAAACAACCATTATACTATTTTTCCTACAGACTCCTACTTATTATACCTAACACGACAAAAAAACACCGTTATGTTTGCTTGTACAAATTACATCACCATAATATTGGAATAGAAGATCACTTACCGATGACGGACAAGTTGTACCGGAAACTCTTGGTGGCGGAATTTCGGAAATCCACACGACATCTGTATACGCCCTCATCGTTCCGGTGTACTTCATCCACCAATAAACATGCCGGATCTGTAACTGTCCGGAAGGAGGCACGGTTGCCGAACACATCCGGCGCTGAATAATGGTGTGCTTGATCCAACGGCATGCCTCTTACGTCAAAGCTGTAAATATAAAATAATTTAGTCACGTTTTCAGCCAATGTATGAGATAATGTTGTATATTCATTTAGGTTTGGAGTGTTTTTATTTGATCTTTATCACCGCAATAGACACCAACACGTGAGTGTATTAATTTCTTATAGGTATATCAATAGTATCAATGTCCGTCCGTCAAAAATGAACATCTAACCCTCTGAACGATTTTATAGTTCTACACTAACCCTATATATATATATATATCATATATATATATGATGATGATGCTAAGAAATATTAATTTAGATTATTTTAGATAATGGTCATTTTTTATAATAGTGACATGAAAATAATAATAATCGTAATCAAATATGGCAATACTCGTGAAAACGTTTTTTTTTTTAGTCTATTTAAATAACAAATATATAACTGTATATTTACCACGTTGCATAATTTTAAAATGTACATAAATCCAATGGTTATATTTATTTAAAAATATTTAAAAAAAAATCTATACTTTTACTTCACGCAATTAGAAATTACGGAGATATAATGAAATTGTGTTGGCATCAAAGAGAAATGTCTACCATTTTTTTTTTCAAACACCATCAATTAAACATCAAATAAATATTTAAGCATTTAAATAATTAAAAACAAAACTATACAGTTATTTAAAACGTATATTTTACATAAATACTTTTTCCAAGATTTTATGCTTGTTGACGTAGTTATGAATAAAATGTACAAAGACAAAATTATACGGATTTATAATTAGCTCATTTAAATTCACCTTAAAATGTATAATGTATTAATAACAGATTTGCCTGGGGAGATACTTGGAATTTTATACTCAATGATAATCAAATAAGTTGACAAAGAGCATTATAATTACGTACATAATAATTACGTTTAAGATTATATTTTCTAGTATGTTTGTGTCACATAAACGAAATGTATCGTGAATCGATTATATTTCTTTTTTCATGTGATGTTCAATAATTAAAAAATAATATTCATGTAAAAATTCTAAATTAACATCCAAAAAAATATTATATTATTATAATATTAAATAATGGTAATAATGAAAGACATTCTTAATACACCCTAAGTATTAGACCCTTACGGACTGTAGATGAGTATACAAACAAAGTAGGTACAGTTACTGGTTATATATAATATTTTTCTAGTAAAACTAAGGTAATAGTTATACTCTAAATTTAAGCGATATCATCAAACATACCTTATTTCAGTGATAAAATATATGTTTTAATTAAAAAAAAAAAAATTAAAAGTGATCTATTATAATTATTAAAACTGTCTTCTACATGTGTATATACATTATCTGGATAACAATATTAGAGTTTATTACAGTATTACCAGCAAGCATAATTTTACATTTAAATCAAAATTGGAAAATCGCTCAGAATATGTTGTATAATAGATATCAAATAAATTGGAATATAATTGAATAGGTCATTTTAATGAATGTATTCAAATTGAATTTAATGATAAATCATCGTATACTAAAAAACAGTCGATGAGACGGTTTGTTCGCATATATTTCTAAAGATGTTTTATTATATATTTATATTGATATTAGTGTAGTAATAATAGTACAAAGGTTGAACAAAGTTATGTCAAAAAATAATTACATAATAATAAAATTATCATCGGTGTAAAATAACATAAAAGTTATCAAGATATTTTTTTAATTTAATAGTATATGAATTCGATAAGTATACTTATAATAAGTATTTTTATAGTGTTAAAATGTTTTGAGACCTTACAAATAATATGTATTATATGAATCACTAACAATCTCATTGCCTTTAAGTGTCTATTAAAATTAGTCTTAAGATTAAAACGTATTATTATTACAGAATAAAAAAAATACAATACATCATTGTAAAAATAATACATACATTTGGAACCTAAAATGGGATCTAACTACCAAAATATATCATAGTAAAATAATAAAACCATTGAATTAGGTATTCAATAATGCATAAAAAAAAACTCATCTCATAATACTCTATTTTTCAATTTATGATATAACCATCTTGTTTAATATATTTAAAAAAAATGCAATTATAATATTGCAATAATGGTTCAGCATTAATCATGAATCACGTACACTGATAGAAAAAAAAAATAATTGTCATTGCAAATGCAATTTTATAACGTAAATCATTATTGGTTTGCTCTCAACTCTTAACTTATTTTTAAAAATCTCTGATCGTTTACTAAACTTACCAACATATAGTATAAAATGGCACTTACTTTGTGTTGATAATATCTACCTATTATATAATATTACGTTTTTTGTAACGCATAATTATACAGACTGCGGAAATTGTACAATATTATTTAACATGCACTACACGTTGACCAAATTAATCTTTCATGAAACTTTAACGGTAGACAATTATTTTTAGAAAAAAATCACGATCATCACCGTTTCAAAGTTTTCTTTAGAACCTTAAAAGTTTATATCGAAAACGTTTTATCTGTCCATTGGCGATTTCTCGATTTCGAAGCATCGGGACTCGAAAATTTATAAGCGCCAAATGAGTTGTAGAACAAACTACTAAAACGGTAAGTAAGTAATATCCCAACGACTTTTAGATTTGATTTATGATAATTGTATTACCGAAGAATTATAACGGTTTGCTGGTCAAGTGTGTAATCACTAACCACACGAACATCGAAAATCATTTCCTACAAATTGCAGCTGCCGTGTACAAATCGTACTATTATCGTTAAAATAAAATATTATATTATACGAAATTGGGGGGAGAGTGTCACGGATGACGGGATCCATTGAATAAACAGTCGTATAATCCGGCCCATTGGTCGTCTTTCCGTACGAAATTTAATTGAATACTCCACTCCGCGTTCTCGTGCATCAACTCGGCACGAGTACGACTGTGCATCACTGCGGTAGGGATAGGCGGTAGATTTCCACGACTTTTTTCAAGACTGGACGGGTGGGACGAGGAAAGATTACGAGCCCGAATGGTATGTAAAGTCGTAAATTTCCAGACCAATTAACAGATAAACCGGATAGCGTTGGGTTATGCATGTTAATATCGTCGTCGGGCGTTAATAATTGACCTAGTGTAGTATATTATTATTATTGTGTGTGTGTGTGTGTGTGTGTGTGTGTGAGTGTGTGCTTATATATAGTGTTCACGGTGCAGGGTTATAGTTGCTTCGAGACCGCGGCAAGGGTTGTGTCTCGGGGATTCGGGTTTTTTACGCCCGTTGCATTCGCTACCGTCCGCCACTGCTGTACATAATAATAAACGTAGCTATATTATACCGATTATAATATATTTTAAATTATTGTATCTCGTACCATTACAACTACATCTATTATAAGGAAAACGCAGCAGATGGTTGGAAATGTTAGATTTTAATTTTCTTGCCTTTGCTGATGGTGCGAGTCAGTCACAAACTTACAGTGAAGATCTATTATAGGTACTGCTATTTATTTAAATCCTATATCACATAAACCTTTTCTTCGTACGTTTTTTAGTATGAAAGTGTTTCACGTTATAGTATACAACTGCTTTCTCTTTCTTATAGTCCCTTCAATCGGAGAATATATAGTATCGAATAATCTATACGAATTGTATTATTTGCTGAAGTAGTATGCTGATTTTAAGGGGCTTTTAACGACGGAAATCAATGAGCTAACGGAGGAAAATATTCAAAAACCTATCATAACCAACTCCATATGGGTCAACATAGATAAAATGTAAATGGCACTTGATAAAAATGTAGGTACTACTTGTAGTAAATGAAATGAAAAATGAGTAGAATAACAAACAATAGCAAATATCTACGTCATGTTGTTAAAGATGCTAGACGGAATTGTAAGAATACATTAAATTTATCGTATTTCACTGCCAACCGAATCGAAATCTAATGTGACATTTCGAACGTCATGTTGGATCAGAATCAGTTAGTTGTTCACGTAACGAACATCCTTCATTCCTTTCAAAATGCGGAACGTGAGGATAGTATAAGTATCACATAAGGTAAATACTAGTCATTGAATTTTTATCAAATGTGAAATATTTTCACAACTCATAGAAATCCTAAATTTAAAAATATTTTGAATGGTCTATTATTAAAACAAAACAATAAATAACAATGATGAGATTAACGATAGGAAAATATTAAAAAATACCAGCAATTTAAATCCCTAAAAAATAATGCATTGCACTAAACTTTGACATAGTTATGTACATACGTGTAGTACATTTTTAACTTGAACAGTCATGCAGTTCGTATATATATATATATATATATATTAGTTACCATGAAACTCCGACAAAGATATTATTTTCAACTGGAAAATAACTTTTTTAGAATATTTTTAAAAGCCTTGCTCATCATAGACGTGCGCAGAGTTTCCGATCAGGTATAGCATCTATTTCTATTTCGTTGATTATTATTTCTTGATAACTTTTATTTAAAGGAACATTTTCAGACGTATCTACGTCAGCAAATTTTTAACCAATAGATATATTGTATATTTGTCAACGCCTTAAAATAAATAGCTATTTTGTCATGAATTTAACTTTAAACATACAGTATAATTACATTACAAATACGCAGAAAAAAAAAATTGGCGTTACAGAAAGAACAGATGCAGCGTAGTCTGCATGTGCTTCACCCGTACGCAGGCCCATGTTGCTTATCGCTTATCGCAAACATGTCCTTCGAAAATACATTTTTTGGAAATCTAAAAACAATTAATATATATATATGATATATATATATTGCTTTATTTAACCATTTTTTGCAGAAGACTAATATCCGAGAAGTCATTAAAAAATATTATAGATTATAGATGATTCGTAAAAGTTTCAAAATCTAGTGAATAATAATTTTGAATTACAACAAAATAACTAAAAACTTTTATTTTTTAAAAATATTTATTTTCATTCAAACTTGAAACTAAAATTTCTTTAAGAAATATTGTTTATATATCTATTACATTTTCTGATTTCAGTATG